CTGGATCAATCTGATATATCAATTTTTGGTGCCACACAAAAAAAATAGGATTACCTGCTTCAGTCAAGTCCCCAGTGCTGTAGTTACACTGACTTTCCTTTTCTGTTTTGAAGAAAGCCCTCGCTAAATCTTCACCATGCTCCACATCCTTTGCATATACTCCCCCCTTTTCCACATAACAAGGTCTTAGCTGTTTTTGAGAGTGTGGTCCACTCAAGTGGATTTAGAAGTCTTAGATCCAGAGGTTATAACTGTTTAGGATATACCTACAGTTGTGATATACTAGGGAGCAAAATCAGAAAAGAAGATAAACAAGTTAACAGAGAGGTAGGAGAAGCAAGAGAAAACAGTGTTTAAAAAAGATAATGGAGGAGAAGATTTCTAGAAGAATAAAGCGATAAGCAGAGAAATGAACATTAAAAAGTTTGAGGACAAAGAAGAGACCATTAGATTTGGTCAGTAAGTCATTTATGACAATTTCTGTAGAGTGGTAAGAAATAGAAACCGGAGTAAAATAATTGTGGACACTAGAGGATAATAAAAATACAATGGCAAGAAGTCCAGGCTATCTATCCAAACAGGTTAGATTAAAAAACAAAACAAAACAAAAACAAGAAAGAAACCTGTATGGCAATCAGAATGGATGGAGGGGTCAAATGAGGACTCACTGTGGTTTTTTTTTCGAGATAGGAGATTTGAGGACATAATGGAAAAAGAGCTATTGCAGAAGTTTTAGAGGAATAATAAAATCTAACCAAATGAGGACTTACTGATTTTTTTCAAGACGGGCTATTTGAGGACATAATGGAAAAAGAGCTACTGCAGAAATTTTAGAGGAATGATAAATATCTAACCGAGGCAAGCTGGCTAACAACTACATGAAAGAGGAAAATGGCTCCACTGATATTAGCAACCCCTCACCACATGCTTCCATTACACCTGTAATTCTCCCAACAGCTTTGTTTATCCCTCACTATATAGTGCACTTGCCCCGTGCACTATATTATTTCTAGTGCCCCAAACAGAGGGCTAGCACTTAGTAGGCACTTAATAAATACTGGGTGGATGAATAAATGGTAAACAATGATATCTGGCCTAGGTTCCATTTGGCCTGATGCTCATATTGCCTATCAATTCAGATAAGTAATAACTCTTCAAAATACTACCAGGTAGAAGAACATTTTCCCAGGAAAAGCCGCATGATTTTAAACCATGTGGTGCACAAATGAACTGAGTATGGCAAGTTGCCAAATTGATACTCAGAGGCATGCACTTCAAGTGGTTTAATGGTATTTTCAACTTAAATGGTAGTTGGACTAAAAAATATATACATTTCAGGTCTCAGAGGTTATCTAATCCAATCCCCCCACTCCCTCACTGAATCAAACATATTTTTCATTAGTCCTAATATTAAGTGACCATTTAGAATCCACTTGAAAACTCTTGTGATAGAAAACACTTATAAAAATGCCCACTCCATTTTTGGATAGCTCTAGTCAGTAGAAGATTCTTAATTGTGATGCACACAAAGCTTTTACCTAGTGCATTTGTCCCGTAGGTTAATGTAACTACAGCAGTCTTTCCAATCACCTGAGGAAGCCCTCTCCTAAGGCTTCTCCTCTCCTCTCCTCTCCTCTCTCCTCTCCTCTCCTTGCCTCAAGAGCTAAGGCAACATATATAGTCACATGGGAGCAAAAACAACATATGTGCAAAATGGAGAACTATTTGTATTTCTTTTCCATCTGATTATGTCTGACTCTCAATTTTCTTTCTATCTTAATTTGTGCAATATCCTTACCTCAATCCAGTGTCCCACATTGCCAGAGTCAAAAGCAGGCTGTGGAGAATATATACAGAATATTAATACATAGCAATATCATTATCAACTTTGCCATTTTAATCTATCCTTCTGACTAAAGTACATGGAAGTGTCCTTTATTCTTTCCCCAAATTGTTTCATTAGAAACTTCAGCAACAAAAGCGCTCAGAAGGATGATAGGAAGAAGAAACACGGAGCCTTCTCTGGGACATCTTCTTAATGTTTTTATCTCCTGCCGAGGCCCACCAGATTCTGATTCACTTGGTTTGGGGCAGGGCCCAGGAATGAGCATTTTCCAAGCTCTCCTGGGTTAAGAGCCAAGATAGAGGAATGCTAGGTATTACGTTGCTTATAAAAATCCAAACACTGATTGCCAGATTTATTCAAGTGTCACAGAAGCAAATCTGCTTAGAGAAGGGTCTACCCTTCTCCCTAGGCCAGTGATGGCAAACCTATGACACGCGTGTCAGAGGTGACACGCGAACTCATTTTTTTGGTTGATTTTTCTTTGTTAAATGGCATTTAAATATATAAAATAAATATCAAAAATATAAGTCTTTGTCTTACTATGGTTGCAAATATCAAAAAATTTCTATATGTGACATGGCACCAGAGTTAAGTTAGGGTTTTTCAAAATGCTGACACACCGAGCTCAAAAGGTTCGCCATCACTGCCCTAGGCCCTCTTTTTCGGGAGTAGCCTGTAGCATGAGGCTTCCTTTTATTTTTTTCTTTAATCCTCACTGGAGGATATTTTCCCATTGATTTTTATGGAGATTGGAAGAGAGAGAGAAAGACAGAGAGAAATATTGACGTGAGAGAAACACATTGATTGATTGCCTCTTGCATAGGCCCTGGGCTGGGAAGGAGCCTGCAACCCAGGTACGTGCCCTTGGCTGGAGTTGAACCCGGGACCCTTCAGTCCACAGGCTGACGCTCTATCCACTGAGCCAAACCGGCTAGGGCATGAGGCCTTCTTATCTTACGTACAGTAGGGATATTGTTTGGTCCAATATGAACTGGGGGAGGGAGATACAGTGAGGGATAATCAATCTTCTACTGTTTTACAGAGCAGAAAATGAAGTAGAAATCACATAAATTTCTACCAAGGTCAGTTACATATTAATCAGACAAGTCATACACCTCCTTTCTTCACTCTCTGTAACATTCAAAAGCTTGGAGAATTCCCCCTAATAGTCACTTAATGAATAGAGGTATTTGCTTTGCTAATTCAGGTGGATTTTTAAATAAATAAGGGAATATCTAAACACGGAGGAGGAAAAGATATAATACTTTCACTTACATAACAGTTCACCTTCAAAGTGCCTTACAGAGAACTTATTAATGCAGCTGTGCTGCTGAATAATTTTGTTACTGCAACAAAGAGCTGATTCTATTAAAACACAACTGAATTTTGAGGAGCTCTTGTGATTTTACCATTGCATCCTCTAGGCCAGCGGTTCTCAACCTGTGGGTCGCGACCCCTTTGGGGGTCGAACGACCCTTTCACAGGGGTCGCCTAAGACCATCAGAAAACACATATATAATTACATATTGTTTTTGTGATTAATCACTATGCTTTAATTATGTTCAATTTGTAACAATGAAATTGGGGGTCACCACAACATGAGGAACTGTATGAAAGGGTTGCAGCATTAGGAAGGTTGAGAACCACTGCTCTAGGCAGTAACAATGAGCACTAGCAGCAAAAATCCTTCCTTTGGAGTCCTAAGAAATTGTCCCAAATTTTTACTTTTCATCATCAAATCTATATCCATAACCTTTTTTGGATCCAATGGAACTGGTACATTACAATAGACTTAGACTGTTTCCAACTCTCTGATGCCCCAATCTGCACCCTCCAGTATCTGGGACAAGATACTCACCAAGTGAAATATATCCAGTGCGTTATTTAGCTGGTATATTTAGAACAAACTGTAAGCACAATTGCCTAGGGCCCTCAGAAAGGCCACATGTCTATAGATTAGATTTTTAAGAAAGTATAACTTAAGGGTGAAAACAACTGGTGAAACTGCTCTGGGGCGGAAAGCTGAGAAGCCAGCTCCATTTTGGTACTCTCACCTACATTTAAGGCATTTATTTTTGTGGCTGTTAAAAAGGTAGTCTGTGCAAAGCACACCTCCTGTGACTGACTTTGCACATGCCATTTACATATGTTTCAAGTTTAAAATGGGGTTAGTTTTCATGGGATGCTAATTCATCAAAAGAGGGAACAAATACAAAGAGGGTCTATTTTTAAAATGATGGTTGAATTTAGAAATTCAGAATCAAGTATTGATATATTCAGTATCCACTTGCATTTATGAATTCATTTTAGATATTTTGTAATCAGGCCGAGAACTTAACGTGAAGATCTTCCCCTGCCAATAAAGACCAGTTGCCTGATTTGCAAAACATAAAAAATAAAAATGAATGTGCGGGAATTTCTCCAAAACTGTGGGGTGGTAGTAAGTAGGAGGCGAAAGAGGTTGTGAATTCTCTTCAACCGGACGAGCACTACCAGACTCTCCGGTTTGTAACAAGCAGAAAATGAAGTAGAAATCACATAAATTTCTACCAAGAAACAGTTCTTCATGATGCTGCCCACCAAAGCCGCAAGGTACCCAGACCCCAGAGTTCCCAGGGCCCCTTCACCAGGGCAACGCTGGCTCCAGGGCGGTCAAGGCAGGGGCGAGCCAGGTAAGGATGCTCTGGGTGGAAGAGGGAGGAAGCACAGGCGGGGACGCGGCTGGCCTGGGAGCCGGTCCCCGCGCCCCGTAACTCCCGATTGGGATGGATCACCTTGGGACTCAGCTTTCTTGTTAATTGTTTCCAGCGACTCAGCCCCATCCTCTTCCTTGAGGAGGACCCTTCCTGGGGCGCCAGCAGCATTTTCCAGGTTCAGGCCGAGAGCTGGGCCGAAGCCGAAACACCCACTCCTCTGCCCACTCCGCTACCGCAGCTCCCTGGGAATTGTAGTTCCCCCGCCCGCAAGGAAGGCAGGTGCGGGGCGCTGACGAACCACCACTCCCAGGAGGCTTTGCGCAGGCGGAGCGCGTTAGCTCGGTTACCCGTGGCAACGGCAGCCGTCCAAGGTCCGGACTTTCGCTCGAGTTCTCGAGGAGATTACTTTTGCCTTTTCCTGGCGCCCGGTGATGACGCAATGCTCCCTGATTGGCTCTGCATCCGAGGCGGTGATTCTGCAAGCGGGACACGTGGAAGCGAGCTGTGGGGAGGCTGAGGGGTCTCCAGACAAGAACAGCTGGGAGGTTTGCAGGTGAGTGCCCCCTCTCCCTGAGGGTGTGGGGACTACTACGGGTGATGAGTCGCGTCGCGCCCAGACACTTCCTGGTTGTGTTGCACTAACTGTTGAACTCCCCACCACGAATCCCCTTGCCTTCTCTGAGTCTCTCCTGGTGGCTTCCGTGTTCAGATTCTCCCAAACCGTGCGAGCTTTCACCGCATCTCTGAGTAAAAGGGACCTGCTTTCAACTGGCCTCTGCTGAAGGGTCAAGTTGTTAGCCGAAAGCTTCCCCCGGGCCGCCCAGGGTGCTGGAGCGGGTGGGAGGATCCCGCATTGCTGAGCCCAGCGCTCCGCGAGGCCTGTAGGTGGCTCCTGGAGTGACGGTAAATCCGTCCTTATGGACCGAGCATGGATGTTTGCGTGGACAGTCCATTCTGGAGCGCAGGGGTGCATTAGGCAGGGTAGATGTTTAGAGCGGGAGCTTTGGACCAGCTACTTCGTGGCTGCATGACCTCAAGCGACTTGCTTAATAACTCTCGGCCCCTCGACAAAATGGGGGCCATAGTACTGAAATCATTGGAGTCTGGTAACGATGGAAAGTCAGTGTATATGTATAGAACCCTTCCAGGAAACGTAAACTAAACTGGACTTGAGATTGGTGAAAACGAGATCAGGGAAGCCGTGCCCTCAGAACTTTGCAGTGGTCTTGGGACCCGCTCCGTCTTCAGGGTCCGTCAGAATGGCGATGGTTGATTAAATTGTGATACATACGCCCTGGCTGGGTTGCTCAGGTAGGTGGTTACCAGTAAGTTGGTTAGAGCGTGGACCTGATACCCAAGGTTGCGGGTTCCATCCAGGTCAGGGCACATACAAGAATCAACCAATGAATGTCTAAATAAGTGGGACAAATAAATGGAGCAAAATGGAATAGACGACTTTAAAATTATGTCTTAACATTGGAGTAAACATTGGAGTAACATAAGTAAACATTGCATATGTTCATGGACAAGATTCAGGACTTCTAATGGGCTACCAGCCTATAAGAGTACAACCTCCACAGTCAGACTTCTATGATTTAAGTCCTGCCTCTGACACTTCCCAAATGGTGACTTTATTAGCCTCCGTTTACTCATATGTAAAATGATCAGTATTTCCCAAGCAGTGTGACTTTTCTCTACACATTGCAAGGCTGAGAGTGAGCCTTGGCTTCATAGCATTCTTTCTATGATTAGTCTTCACTTTCGTCCTTCCATTTGTTTGGATTTTATCAGGTCAGACAAGAATTCAGTAACTGAATTTAAATGGTGTTGATGTCATCATATTGCTCTGGGACTTTTTCCCATTCCCCTGGATATATAAAAAGATCCTAGGCTGAAAGTAGTCGTAAACATGCTATAATTAATTTTTTTGTAGGTTGTTATCTTTGTAAAATGTTTAGCCTTTAGATGTCATGAAACTTCTTCTGAATTTAATGGTCTTTTCTTAGCAGGACCTGGAGAATCCCTCAGGATGAAGCTGAGTCTCACCAAGGTAGTTAATGGCTGTCGCCTAGGAAACATAAAAAACCTGGGCAAAACAGGGGACCGCACAATGGACATTCCAGGCTGCCTTCTATACACCAAGACTGGCTCTGCCCCACACCTGACCCATCACACGCTGCATAGTATCCACGGGGTTCCTGCCATGGCTCAGCTTACACTGTCATCACTGTAAGTAGTGGACTCAACCATTCCAGGTTTCAACTTTGGCAGCAGCTTAGTTACCTTAACAAGGTACAACAAAGCAAAAGACTTTCTTGCTTATATGTGTAAAATTTGTAGATTTTTTTAGAATGAAATCAGAAGAAATATATCAAATGTTATACATCATCTGGCCCTAATCTGGAAGGCATGGGTCAGACCTCCATGTTAAAGGTGCTTCACTTTTCCTCTGAACCCAAGGTTCCTCATTGCCACTGTTCCCAGGGGTAATAGGGTAGGGGTGTCTTTATGCACCAGCCTCAAAAGATTTCTCTGTCCCTGCACGTGTACTTGCATGTGCTACTTATGGAAACAGAGCTAATGGAGTTAGACCATTTTGTGTATTGTGCATATTGACCTTATCCTTAATTGAATAATCTGCTCTAGATGAAATGACTGCAATATCCTATATAATAAAAGGCTAATATGCAAATTGTCCCCTCCACCGGGAGTTCCACCAGGGGGCAGGGCAGCTG